ATATTGACTCACTCTGTGTAATCCACCTTGAGTCCAAGTCAGAAAGGCGGACTATAAATAACATAAATCAGTCCATCAATGAATTAAAAGGATCAGGTGACAGGTGATATGAAAGACCTTAACCAGAAACCTTGGAGAGCCGATACCAATTAGAGGACGCAAAACTGACCACAATGGTTTGATGGTCTGCTTCACGTGCAGTTTAATCTTCAGCATCTCCAGTTCAAATAGGATCAAGTTGCAGATATGAGTGACCTTCGCCTGAGACCCCGGGAAGCCACAATGAATCTGTGCAGACAATACTGACCTTGATAGACCAGTGATTTGACCCATTATAAGACAAGGAAAGACAGCTTCACGTGATTTCCTTGAAGGACTGCTTGGGAACATGGGAACGATGCAACCTCGTTGTACCCGAGAGACCATAAAAGGGATGTGGGCAGAGATTTTCATGGGATTTGTCCTGCACATGCCTGTACAGTACAACACTGTAAACCTGCCAGCAAACGTGAGAAAACCAGCAAGACAGGTAAGGTGGCCAGCTGGTGGTAGTGCTGACACTCATCAACCAGACAGGGAACTGAACAGGACTGGTTTGGGAGGTGACAGGCGGGTACGCCTGGCATCACAGAGCACAAAATTCTGGATTTCATCCATCCCCATAAGAGGGTCAAAGAGTAGAAGAACAATCCTCCTTCCTTGTCGCTGTGCCACCTGCAAGGTCCATCACTGCTATTGGAGGAGGTACCTTCCCAGGCATGTTGCTACTGCCCAAAGGTCCATGGCCCTCATTCTTCCACACAAAGCAGCCCCCTTTCTCCAGGGTGGGGGAAACATCCTGACATGCCCATATGGTACAGTGGTTAGTGTCAAAATTAGGATCTGGGACTCTACTCTGGGAGAAGCAGGTTTGAGTCCCCACTCCTCCACATGCAGCTGCTGGGTGACCTTGGGCGAGCGACAGTTCTCTCAGAGCTGTTCTCTCACGTGCAGTTCTCGAAAGAGCTCTCTCAGCCCCACCTACCTAACAGGGTGTCTGTTGTGGGGAGAGAAAGGGCTGGAGATTGTAAACCACTCTGAGACTCTGAGTAAAGGGCAGAATATAAATCCAATCTCCTCCTCCTCCTCCTCATCATCATCATCAAATCCCCACTCTGCCATGGCAGCTTGTCGGATGACCTTGGGCCAGTCACTCTCAGCCTAACATACCTCACAGGGTGGATTGGAGGACAGACGGAACGAGAGTTATGTGCACCACTCCGAGCTTCTTGGAGGAAAGGTGGTTTACTTACTACTTTGTGTTGTTTTTTTTTAAATCTAGCTTTTGCCTGTGTAGGCAGCAAGTTACTCAATGAAGGGGTTGTGTCACTCTTGAGCCATCAGCTAACCTAACCTAATCCTTGGCCACTCCCTACAGCAACGGGAAAATGGAAGGCCGTCTCTGAGAGACCAGCTACAGACATGCTGCCCCCGGGATGGCCACACCTGACTGGCGGGCATTGTCACGATCTAGGGAGGAGCAGCCTTTGAACACGAGGGACTAGAACAGGGGTCTCTGACTTTTCTGAGCCTGCGGACACATTTGGAATTCTGACACGGTGTGGTGGGTGCAGCAACAAAATGGCTGCCCCAGGAGGCGGAGCCAGCCACAGAATGATTGCCACAGCATGACTTCAGTAACACAGTGAAGCTCCTTGGTGCTGTGGTGGCAGCTGCTGCCAAACCAATGTTTTTAAAAATCTGCACGGCCAATCAGATCTCGAGTAGTTGCCCTGACCTGGATAGCCCAGGCAAGCCTGATCTCATCAGATCTCGGGAACTCAGCCAGGCTGACCCTGGCAAGTACTTGGAAGGGAGACCGCCAAAGCATACCAAGAACATAAGAGAAGCCAATGTTGGATCAGGCCAATGGCCTATCCAGTCCAACACTCTTGTCACACAGTGGCCAAAAATAACAGGTGCCATCAGGAGGTCCACCAGTGGGGCCAGGACACTGTTGCCCCCTCAAGAACCAAGAATGCAGTGCATCACTTGCCCTAGACTGAGAGTTCCTATCTCTACCTTGTGGCTAATAGCCACTGATGGACCTCTGCTCCATATGCCAGGACACAGGGGCAGGCAATATCAAAGCCACCTCTCTGAAACGTCCTAGCCCCACTAAGAGTTACTAGAAGTCACCATGACTTCCAGGCCCAGAAAATGAAGATGACGAAGAAGGAGACTGGATTTATACCCTGCCCTTCACTCAGAGTCTCGGAGTGCCTTACAAATTCCTTTCCCTTCCCCTCCCCACAACAGACACCCTGTGAGGTAGGTGGGGTTGAGAGAGGTCTGAGAGAACTGTCCTTGAGAGAACAGCTCTGACAGAACTATGGCTTGCCCAAGGTCATCCAGCAGCTGCAGGAAACCCAGTTCACCCAGATTAGAGTCCGCACATTCCACCACTACACCAAACTGGCTCTCTACAAAGCATATTGACGCACACACTAAAACCCCCACCAACAAATACAAAAAACCCCTCCAATAGTCAATCAGAAGCCTTGCTGGGCAAACGCTCTGCCTGGCCCCGCCTACCTCCTCAAAGCCCTTGGCAGGTGCCAGAAAGTGTCAGTGGGCACCACGGCATCCCACGTTGTGGACCCCTGGACTAGAAGCTTGAAATGTTACCCAGCGAAGCAAAAGCCAGTGGCTGCTTACCTCCTGCTGTTCAGAGATATCTCAAACACCCTGCCTGTAGGCTTGCTCATTGTAGGCGCTGGAGCCTACAGACCTCCCCCCCCCCCCCACCCCCCAAAAACTCCCTGTACAGTAGAAGCTGCCAAATGGGACCAGCAACCCTGCAGTCAGCGGCCACCTCTTTTCTCTCCCCAGTAGGATCAACCTCTAATTTTCTTCTCAAATCCCACAACGCTTGCGATGCCATGCCACAGGCTTAAAACGCCTGGAAGCTGCCCAACTGGATGACTCACGCCGCAGAAAGGGAAAGTCAGTCGACTCCCCACTTGGCGAAGGGCAGGCGGGTTGAGGGGAATTCCCTCGGGGAGCAGCCGCGATTCCAAGCCCTCCTTAGCTCCCAGACGGACCTTCTCGCTCTTGTCTACGGCCGGCCACCTTTGTGACCGTGCTAGATGCCGTATGGAACAGACGGTTGTAAAAAAGAGAGAGAGAAGCGCAATTGCGATAGGGAAGCAAATGAAGCAGTGGAAAAAGAGCATTTTTTCTGGAAGTGGCTGGCTTTGAGGAGGGATGGGGCGTGGCAAAGATCAAAGTGCCTGAGCAGAACCCGGGAAAGTGAGCGGGGATGCAGCAGAGACACTAAACCGGATGCCAGAAGGACTCTCCTCGAAACGAGGGAAGGGAAGAAACTGAGCCGCAAAAGGTGCCCCACGGAAGCAGTCAACCAAAAGCCGTCACCTCCTTCGATCAGGCTTTGACGGAAGCAAAATTAAGCCTGGCATTTGGAAGAAAGATTAAACAAGCCCCAGGGGCAACCCACTGAAGACCCTGGCTCCTCATCGCTCCTGTCATTGTAGCTCCTCTTCAGGTGTTCGAGGAGGCGACTTCTCTGTTTAAGAATCTGCAGAACAGATGCTTTCCCAGCGAACAGCAGGCTCCGATATTGCAAGAAAGAGGGATGCCTAATCTCTTTGCTGGCAGGCAGGCAGGCACGTAGACAGCTTGGAAGACAAGGGCTGTTGTGCAGCTGATACTGGAAAAACCCAGGCACTTGGACCCACCATAATCTTTGATTATGCAAACCTATGAGCTTTTCCGATCCACACTGCTCTCCCCAGTAAGACAGGATTCTCCTTTGTCCAGATGTCCAAGAGACTGAACATTCTGCAGTGTGGCCGGACATTAGTCTGGTAATGAACACCCTGGTCTGATTTGAAAATATGCTCACACAAACACAAGCACACACAATAGCGTATGGAAATGCCTGTTTATTAACCTTTTCCACGTTTTGAAAAACACACCATTGAGTTTACCAACCTACAGTGCACTCCTAAGTACACTTCACTTTTGAATGAGGCAGCTCTTACCAGGATTGCACTGCTAGTGTACAAAAACGCCCTTTGTCTCTTAAATATTACTTTGATACAAACAAGGTTATTTAAGGGAAAAAACCCTGACAATCACAGATTAGTAAAATAAAGCTTTTATATATACATTTAAAAACATCATTTAGGTAAACTTGTCTCTCTTCCTGAGCACCAGAATGTTACTCACAGTGACTATAGGCTGAGTCATTGTCAAAAAGTCTTAAGGGCTGCAGGCCACTGGAATCTTTCCTTTGAGGCCAGAAAACAAAGCAGCCAGAGTGGCTGTGACGGACAGGAAATCAGCCAATGGAAAGGGACACTGAGGGCTTGCTGGTAAGGGAAATATTTCTGTCCCACAGCACCCAAGATCCCACAAAGCAGGTTCTTTGTGGGTTGCATAGCAACAAGAACCTACATAGGGCTTTGATATTCCCCTTTAAATTGCAGCCAGGCATTGAAGCTGAAGCCCCTTTTGACCCTCCCTTTGCAGCCCTCCCCCCCCAAACACACTACTGATCAGAGAAGACTCCCATGGAGAGAACCCCGGATGAGAACTGGGATCCATAACATCAGGCCTTTGCAGGACTGTGGCACACCAATGTGGAACCGAAGACTCCAGGTCAGCGCTTCCTCAAACTCTCCTCACAAAGTGGGTGGGAGGACTGGTAGGGCACTCCGAAAATCCAGTCCAGCTTTTGTGGATTCTCTATCCCCTTCACTGCCTTGGAAGCCCCAAAGAGTTGATGAAGAATGCTTTGACAGATGGAGAACCCAAAGACCTGTGCCCAAAGCAATCAGTGGTTAGACTCTGTGCCACTCAGTGGTTCAAGAGATCAGCTGCCCCGGTGTTTCAACAAGGTTGCACCTCTCATTATGAGTTCAGCAGCTACGAAGACAGGACCTGAGGTTACTTGAGGTTAATGTGCGAAATCCAGAGCAACTGGATGAGCTGGGAGCACAGCCCAGAACTGCTGGTTTCTGCTACAAGCACTCAGGGGCAGAGAGCCAGTCCCAAAAACTCCAGTATCCTTTACTTCTTCGACGTTAAGCCCAGACTGTATTGTCACCAAGGCACAATGGAAGGCGGCACAGGAATTGCCAAATCCCCTCCCCGAGATATTGCCCACATTAAGAGTAACAGGGTTCTTTGCAGGCCCGAGGCCGTTTTTCCAGGGTGAGGACTGACCCAGCGCAGCTCTGCTCGGCTAACACCCACCGAAGAAGTCACCATCACTCGGCCGCCTCCAAGAACTCAGAGGTAAAAACGGCTTCTGCGTAATCCTCGCACAGGTCTTGCAGCTCAGCTGCCACGTCCGCCAGGGCCTCTTCCGTCAGCTCCTCTGCCAAGCTAAAGAGGCAGGAAAGGGAAATTCAAAAGCCGAGACCCGATTTCTAGGGTTTTGGCAACCATCCCCACAACCACCTCCAAGACTTGCTGTTCTTCCCAAGGTGAGGGAGAACCAACTGCTGCCATGCTGGGGGGGGGGGGGGACCAGTCATGCCTTGCTTTAACTGGCAGTTTCCCATTGGCAGCGATCTGGAGAACAGGCTGAGGAGTTAATACAGCCAAGGAGGAACCAGGGCTGCATCCATACATCACTTGGATATTGCACTATCATCACGCTATAGCAATCGTTTGTAAGCGGATTCCCCTGTGCCGACGAGGCAGTCCAGCTGCAAACTACTGCTGCTGGTGGAGAGTGCCGTCGGGTCACAGCTGGCTTATGGTGACCTCTGGTGAGGTTGTCGAGGCAAGAGATGTTCAGAGGTGGTTTGCCATGGCCTGCCTCTGCCTCGCGACCCTCCAAATACTAGCCAAGGCCAACTCAGCTTCTGAAACATGACGAGAGCGGGCTAGCCTGGGCTATCGGGGTCAGGGCAAACTATTGGTAGAGCACAGTTTCCAAGGATGGGTGGATGCGGTCCAGGTATGTCTGCAGTGGGAGACAGAGGAGCCCTCTGTCTCCAGGAGGGGAGGCTTTGGAAAGGATGGAATGGGGCATTTCAGCCATTCCATGCTGGGCAGGGCTCCTGCTTTGTGCTCGCTCCCCTCTTGGAATCTGTTTCTCATGTAGCCTATGCTCCTCTGGAGGCCTTCAGCCAGCAGGAGCCCAGATTTATGCAAGAAGAGCCCTGCTGGAGCACACCAAGGTGATCCCATCTTCCTGTTGCCCTACAGTAGCCAGCCAGAGGCCCCACTGGGAAGCCTACCGGCATTTGCGATGGCGTCTGCTCACAGCCTGAGCCCCTTGGGAACTTAATTAAGAATAACAGTAGCAAAAACACAGCCACACATCGCCAGGAGTCAACACATAAGCTATGCCCCCCAGCACAGGCACCTACACATCTGCTCTTGCCCTGGACCCCTCTTCCTTTGCTGCTTCCCATATCCCTTAAGGATGCTTATTTTCTCCTCCCAGGGGATGATGGAAACAACAGCTGTAACTGAGAAGGAACAGAAGCAAATCTGGAGAATTAGGGGAGGGGAGAATTAGGGGAGGGGAGAATTAGGGGAGAGAAAGGCAATCAGCTTAAGAGGAGCAAAGGCATGAGGAGGAGAACCGGTCCTGTCTGGACCACTCACAGGTGTCCTTGCAACGCAAACTTTGTCAGGTTGGGAAACAGCAAAACCAAGAGCAGTTTTGCAGTCCACAGTCCTGCTCAGTTTGCATGGCATGATTCCATGCAAGGTGCGGCACACCACCTGGTGGTGCTGCCGGGTACTGCAACAGCCACATTCCTATTCTTGCCATACTCCTGTGATAGGAACCGCTGGTGTACCATGAAGCACAGAGACCATGAATCTTTCTTCCTGCATGGCCATGATTGGTTCAAAAACTCAGCACAAGCCCAGTTTTAATGGCCAGCTTTTCACATGCGTATACCAGTAGAGGGGCTGCAGGGCACTTCTAAGGGGCATGTGGGAGTTAAAGAACTCCCGAAAGATCTCCTGATGGGCAAGCTCTTCCACTCACCTCTGTGCAATGTGCCACGGACTGAAGTTCCCCACCTCCTCATGGGAAATGCACCTGAGGTGCTGATCATACCGGGCACCGTAATCATGGATGCTTTGGAGCATGTTCTTGGGTACAGAGAGGAAGGTGCAGGGCTGCTTCCGCTGGGAGGTGTCCCAAGTAGCTGTCTGCGCGGTCTGAGTTCTGGACTCCAGTCTCTCATCTGGCTCTACGTCCTCCTCAACAGCACTGGAAGCATGGAAGCAAGGAAGATAATCAAAGCTCCTTCCTTGTGTTAACAGGCATCGAAGTTCAAGCAGAGATACACTTTATGAAGATGCACAATCCAGGTCTTTCCCACATCCCTGTGCTGCTCAGGTACTCCTCGGTTCCTAACTTCCTCCACTCATCTTTCTTCCCTGCAGATACCTCTCTCTTCCCCAATGACTCCTATCCCTTCAGTAGCTTTGGTCCAGGAGCAATGAACCCTCTAAGCTGTGGAGTCTTGTGAGCAAAAATTCTACTTTGTGAGCTACTGGCATTAAAGTTGTGAGCGAGCGATTTGGCGACTGCATAAATTAGTTTGCTCTGGAGCCATCCTTCCTGAGCTAAGACAAAAATCTGTGAGCCAACGGCTACAAAACTGCGAGCCAGCTCACACTAACTCAGCTTAGAGGGAACACTGTCCAGGAGCCCCATCTCCTAGCCCTTGGGGAGAAATAAACACAAAGGAACCAAGGGAGCGGGACTCCTCTGTTGCACTCTCCCCACTTCCTCAAGTACACTTATTTAAAAACAAACCCCACCACTTCATTGTTTTCCAGAAACACACTTTCGTGTTCTTATTTACTTATTTCATTTCATTTATACCCCACCCTCCCCGCACGCGGGCTCAAGGCGGCTTACATAGGCACAAAGTGCAATAGCGATAAAACAGGTTAAAAACAGTTAAGACTAAAATTCACAACAAACAGGATACATGAGAGACTATAATACACACTCCCCATTGCATATCAGGAAGGGGTCAGAAAAGGGGGGACGACGCCATGGGCCACGATGTTCCAGATGACCAATCGGCCAAACCCGGCGATACTGCACTGCAGTTACATGGTGGTGGTAGTGGCGGTGGCTGGACACTGGGCTGGACACTGTTGGAAAGTGGATTACATAGACCTGCTCTGGTTTTATTTCCTGCTTCCTTTTGAATCCCTGCAAGCAGTGCACAGCACCTGCCATCCCCTCAGCCCAGCAGAAGCCTTAGTCCATCACAGAGATGAGTACCGCTGCCACCACACTGCCCCTGAGCCACTAGAATACTTGTGAATATTCCGTGACATCACAGCCATTCAAACCAAAGGTTATGACGGGGAGGGGGGGCCTGAAGAAAGATGATGGCTCTCTTTAAGTATCTGAAGGGCTGTCACTTAGAGGAGGGCGGGGAGCTGTTCCTGTTGGCAGCACAGGATAGGACTTGCAATCATGGGTTTAAATTAAGGACAGGAAGGTGCCGGCTGGATATTAGGGAAACCTTTTTACAGTAAGAGTTATTCAGCAGTGGAATCAGCTACCTAGGGAGGTGGTAAGCTCCCCCTCACTGGCAGTCTTTAAGCAGCAGTTGGACAAACCATTGTCAGGGATACTGTAGGCTGATCCTGCATTGAACAGGGAGTTGGACTAGATGGCCTGCATGGCACCTTCCAACTCTGTGATTCTATGATTCTGTGAAAGGCATGTGGCCAGTTTTTAGCACTAGACAGTGCCAATATCCAATCCTACCAAGTATCAATTATGCAGCCAACCACCTGCTTCTGAATTTCAACTTACTTTGCGTCCAAGGGCCTTTCTAATACAATGTCCACTTGTGGCTCACTGTGACCTTCCAGCTTCGTTATCTGGATGGGGTGGGGAGCCCCAGGAGATTTCTCTCTTGCTGCAATTGCATTCTCTAACAGATGGAGGAAACAAAAACAAAACCCTTTAGTGGTTGTGCAGAGCTCCTTGCAGTTTGCCCACCAGTGTTCCTGGAGAGGGAACACATCCACCAGCACTTTCTTTGCAAAAGGACAATGAACTGGAATCTACTGCAAACTCAGTTGGAAGCCTTGATACAGACAAACACACGCCCTGGAGATACAGAACATTTCTTTTAAGTTTTGAGTGTGTTTTTATCCCACCATGCCTCCAAGGAGTCCAGGGGGGCAGCATCCATCATTCTCCCCCTCCTCATTTTTATCCTCTCAACAGTTCCTGTGAGATGGATTAGGCTGAGAAAGAAAGAATGACCAGACCAGAGTCACCTGGCCACCTTCATGACACAGGATTTGAACCCAGCTGTCCCACTGCAACACTCTAACCACTACACCACACTGGCCTTTTCTTTCCAATACAAGGAAGTTGGCAGAAACAGTCACAAGGGAAGGCTACAGTTCCCAGGCTCTTCCTAGTATAGAGCGGCAGCTCGTTCCAAGCCCTCTTTTCACGCTTGGAACTTGGGAGCAGAAATGCATCACCAACGATGCAAACTTCAAGCATCTAACAAAGTGAACTGATTCACAAAAGCTCACGCTGGAAGCACTTTTGCTAGCCTTTAAAGGTGCGGCTTAATTTTGCTCCAACAAAATACACACCGAGCACTCAGGCTTTAACTTCACGTGAGCGAGGCTCTGCATAAGGGTCCCTGTTTCTTTGGCCCACAGGCATCGAAGCTTGCAGGTGCCCACCATATCAGAGGAGCCAATCTGTTAACACAAGCCAGGAAACCAGCACTGAAATGAGTATGGAGATGGTAGGGTAACCCCTAACTTTGTCTTTCAGCCTTGATGGTTATGCAGGCACACTTGGGGGAGAGGCTGTGACTCTGTGGCGGAGCGTCTGCTCAGCATGCAGAAGGTCCCAGGTTCAATCCTGGCATCTCCAGTTAAAAGGATCAGGTAGTAGGTGATGGGAAAGACCTCTGCCTGAGAATTGGGAGAGCAGCTGCCGGTCTGAGTAGACATTACTGACGCCGATGGACCAGTGTTTGCTCCTGGCTACCTGACCATCAGCCAGCCCTTCACATTTGCCTGCCTACGACTTACCCCTTCTCTCTTCCTGCGCCCAGAATTCAGGGTCAGAATAGACGATCTGGTTATACTTCCTTCGCATTTGCTCTTGGGAGCTCTTGAACAGGGGAGAAAAGACATGATTACTCAACAAATCATAAAGCTGGGTTTTTCTGGACTGGAGAAAAGCTGACAGAGAAAACAGATACAGAAGTTTTCTGTCTCTAATGCTAGAATTTGGGACACTCAATGAAGTCTATGGACAGATGAAAGGAAATATTTCTTCACACAACACATCGCTAACTGATGGAACTTACTGCTGAGAGAGAGAGAGAGGAGAGAGAGGGGAGAGAGAGAGAGAGAGAGAGAGACAGACAGACAGAGAGAGACAGAGAGAAAACACACACACTAGCAAAGGTGCCTTTAAAAAGGGATTCAACTGACGGAACAGACCCATCAATGGTCATGATGCCAAACAGATCTTCCATGGTCAGAGGCAGAACACCGCTAAATACCAGAGGCTTTGGCCTCTGCGCCCAGCTTGTACACCTTCCAGGGGAACTGACTGGCCACAGGATCCTGAACTAGATGGATCCTTGGTCTGATCCAACATGGCTCTCCCTACTGTACAATAAGAGATGACCCTTCCCTTGATTAAGCTACATCTACAAAAGCAAACACCCTCCCACTCCCCCTATTGCATCTGCCTCGCCACTGCAGAACAGCAGAAGCCTCCCACAAAATGTGTCTGAAGCCATTACAGGACTGAACGCAGTTTGCAGTGATCTGCAATTCACCCCACCTCAATCTAGTGTCGGGACCAATAGAACCGACTTAATTTTTACCCAGACCAAGGACAAGTCCAAGGCAGAACGTGGCCCAGCACAAGGATTTGCCAGAGATGGGGCACTGCAGGCGAGTTCTGGAAGGCTGACCTTTGACAAAGCCTACGATACAGCCCAATGAGCCCGCTCTGCCCTCCAACCAACACACACAGCAGTGCTCTCCCCTTCCCTTGAGGGAGAAGAAGCTGGCAGCTGGCTTCCCCTGATGAGGGATCCATGCTGGCAGACAGAAGGCTGTCTGGGAATATCCACGTGTCAGGGACTCGATCAAAAAAAGAAAGAAAGAAAATCACACAGCATGGAGAACGCTGCTTCCCCCTCCCCAAAGCCTGCCCAATTTTGTCCTGAATGATCCCCCTTAGAGAGCTAGCTAGCCGCACTCCAAATGGTTTGCTGGCGCAAGTCAAGTGTTGACGGAGACCAGAGCAGAAGCCCACCTCGATCTCCTCCATCCTCTGAAGCATCATCTCCAGGTCTGGGGCACCGAGGGCGGAGAGAGACTCACGTCCTGCCTTCTGGCTCTGTTCTAGAGCAGAGGCCTCCAAAAGGCTGCTTGAGATACCGGCCTCAGCTGCAGCCTGACAATTAAACACACAAACAGGAGTTACTCTCGCAGCATTTATGCAGTTATTTAAAATGTTACTTTCTCGATAGATTGGACACGAGACACACTTTCAGCGCTGTGCTCTTGAAGCGGCTAAACACTGTATATTAGAAGGAGACGTCCAAAGTGCAGTCAACCCCCCCCCTTTCACACTCGCACCCCAAGATCAGATCCAGCAGCCAAAGAGATTCCCATGGGAGGCAGCTGATGCCCAAAGAGAGCAGCTGCTCTGAGTTCACCCAGTCAAACTCCTAGCAGAGGCAAGGTTTGAGCTCGGGACTTCCCAACTCGTGGCTCGTACCACTACACTCAGCTGCCTTCTAAGTCAATAATATCTTTTTTATATATAAAATTCAAATTTTGCAAAATAACACTTATAAAACATTTAACTTACAACAGAGACCAACTACAAAATTACATAGTGATATAAAGATACAAAAATGACAACACAGGGTGGATAAAACTAGATTATGCTAGTAAGTCATAAAACTTCCTAAACCTAGTATCCTATAACACCCAATCACGGCGAATATAGTTGTAATATTGAGTTTGCTGAGTATTGCTAATTCTTTCTAACACATATTCTAATTTATCCAGTATTTGACCCCATCTACCAGAAAAAGCATCATATTTGTATGACGGATCATTGCATTCTAGCTTATCTGTGATCTTATCCATCAGCAGATGGGTCCAAAGATTTGAATACCAAGATCGAATGGTGAGTGGGTTCTGGCCTTTATCTTTTACGTGCTCCCTCAGGTAAGGAAACCCTACAGGACCCTCAGAAACAGGTTCCTACGTGTACTCAGAAGATGGTCCAAGTTATTCCTGAATACAGTGCATAAAAGCAAAGTCGGCCATAAACCATACTTATTTTTTGGACACCCTTCACCATTGCCAGCTCCCTAAAGCCCTAGGAAAAGCCTTGGGCCTTTCTTTAGCTAGGTAACTATGACCTATTAAATGGTCACCAAGTCAGGGAGAACTTTAAAACTGCTTCCAGGGGGCAGCGGTTTCCACACTGCAGCTTGCCACATAATGGGCTACTCTTGCCCCCACAAACTTCCTGAAGATTTGGTGGGGAGGGATGGTTTCAAGGCCAGGATGGAAATCCTGCAAAGCACATGGCCAGTCGCCACCACCTGACAGCCATGTCATTTACATGAGTCCTGCTGCAGAACAGAATGCACCCTCCGTTTCCCCCACTGGAAGCTGTAGCTTGAGCAGGCAGAGCTACAAAACCTTCCCCGGGTTTCAGCCATTCTCTGGCCCTTTTATTGGAGCACATCTCACCTTCCCGACATCCTGGGGTGGCGCCTGGCTTTCCAATAATGGCTCCTTCAAGCGAATGTTTCTCTCCAAGGAGAGATTCACCTTCTGATGAAACAAAAGCAGGGAAATGATTGTCCAGTTCTCTGGGACACTCACTGCAGAGTTCCAGTTCTCACTGCAGAGACCTTTGGGCAAAGTCACTTCCTTTTAAGGAACAGAGTGTCCAAACCGCTGCTCTGAATGGCTTGGGGGAAAGACAAATGACCCAGGATCTGTACAGGTAAATAGCCAAGACATCAAATTATTCAAGAAGGTTGCAAAGAGCTTCCGAAAAGGGTACCTCCGAATCAGGTGAGTGGATGGCAACAGAGCAAATGAGATTCGGTATACGTAAGGGTAAAGTGATGCACCCTGGGGCAAAAAAATCTTAACTTTACTGATGGAGAACAAACTGTCAGAAGACTGACCAGGAAAAAGGTTTTCTAGTCATAGTGGGTGACTCCATGAAATGCTGACTCGGGGTGCAGCAGTGGTCATCAATGCTCCCTCTAAGCTGTGGGGTCTTGTGAGCAGAAATTCTACTTTGTGAGCTACTGGCATTAAAGTTTGTGAGCAAGCGATTTGGCTGCTGCATAAGTTAGTTTGCTCTGGAGCCATCCTTCCTGGACAAAGACAAAAATGTGTGAGCCGGAGGCTAAAAAACTGTGAGCTAGCTCACACTCACTCAGCTTAGAGGGAACACTGGTGGTGACAAAGGTGTTAGTTACACAACACCTGTGCCAAGCCCACAAGTTCTTCTGGCATTACCTGTGCTTTCTCCAAGAGGGGCTCCAGCCGCTCTCGAATCTCTCTCTCCATCTTATCCATGATCTCCTTTGAAGAGGTGCCCTCAGTCCTGTGAACACCACTGTGGGGGGGGAAATCCAGTACTTAATGTTAGTTGGTTCTTTGGTCATTACTCATTGGACACAGTACATGTACAGTAACAAGCCACGCTCTGAAATGCACACCAAGCAGAGAGAAACCAGCTATCTGGCCCTAATTAGATGCTCAACAGATTTCCGCAGAGAGCAGTTCCAAAACTGAAGTGTGCTTCACACCCAAGCATGGGTGTTTATGTGTCAATTGTGTGCCTTTCAGTCTGTCTGTCTTAGTTCTAGTGACTGTGCTGTCCAATGCTCCCTCTAAGCTGGGGAGTCTTGTGAGCAAAGATTCTACTTTGTGAGCTGCTGGCCTTAAAGTTGTGAGCGAGCGATGTGGCTGCTGCATCAATTAGTTTGCTCTGGAGCCCTCCTTCCTGAGCTGAGACAAAAACGTGTGAGCCGGAGGCTAAAAAACTGTGAGCTGGCTCTCACTGACTCAGCTTAGAGGGAACACTGGTGCTGTCGCCAGGTCTCATCGTCTGGTGGACAGTGCCTGAAACTGAATCCCATGACCTCACATCACCATCGGATAGATTTTAGACTGAAAGTAGCCACCCCTATCTCAAGAGTTAGCCCTTTCTCCCCCAGGAGTAGGAAGAATAAAGGGAAACTGAGCCACTGTGCCCCCTCCTGGAGGATCAAGAGCTCAAGCACCCAACTGGCAGGCCAAATTTCACAGGAACTGAAAGTCGCTTTCTTGCAAGTTCTCTTCTCCTGGGCTAGCTCTATCTTCTGTGCTAGTTTTGGAGCCGCATACAGCGTTCCGTGCGCCTTGGTGTTTAGTCATGCCGGCCACATGACCACGGAAACGTCTTCGGACAGCGCTGGCTCTTCGGCTTTGAAATGGAGATGAGCACCGCAACCCTAGAGTCGGACTCGACTGGCTTTCGAGCAAGGGAACCTTTACCTTACAGAAGAAACATACCAAAGAGGTACATAAACATGAAGCTGCCTTATGCTGAATCAGAATGCAAACCCCACCCAATGCCTCTACTTCTGTTTCCAGTTGGGACATGAAGCCCAGGATTCGGAGTTTGGCCATTGTTTGTCTGCTGAAGTAACCCAGTTCCCTCATCTTTCTTGGACACAGGCAAGACTTAGAAACAAAGTCCAACCTAGATATGTCTCAAGCTAAACATCTTTTACGTACACAACTCACTGCAAACTTAGGTTTGATAAAAGTATGTAATCTGCAGTAAAGAAAAACCTCTACAGGTTCCAGAAAAGTCACCTTCATGGCAAGGAAGTTTTACCACCACCACCCCGACGGTTTCTGAAATGCAACCACTGCAAGGGGGATAAAAAACACTCAATGAGCCCTTCTGTGCCAACCTGACAGCTGGTTTTTCCATGGCTCGTCTTCCCTCTTCTGTTCTCTCTCTCTCTAAAATGGCCTCTCTGTTTCGGGAACTTCCATCAGGGTGCCTGTAAGGAATTGTGGGAAGAAGGGAAGAGGTGTGAGGCCGTTACTGCAGTCCCCATTCTGCACTGACAATCAACAAACTTCTGCGTCACACAGAAGTTCTCAAAGGGAAGAAGTGAAGCCTGGCTCTGGCAAAACAAATGCTCTCGACTGAAGAGAGACTGCTTCTGGGTGGCCTGCAGTGCATCCTCAAGCAGAGTTACACCCTCCTAAACTCAATGGAATACTTCAATTGATTTAAGAAAGGTGTAACGCTGTTTAGGATTGTGCTGTTGATCACATGGAGATTACTTGCGAAGGCAGGATTTCCCTTCACAATCCATCAGGTTGTGTAAAGCACAAGAGTGCCGAATGCATCTGTAGAACACCCACACTTGTTACAGAACTGACATTTATGCCAGTGATCCTAATTCAAATTTCTCCTCTTCTCATGGCAGTCTGCTGTGGAATCACGGTCCTTCTAAATACAAGGGAATTTCCACTGACTGAAACAGGTTGGCTACCATGATTGAATAACGGGCATTCGGAATTAACCTCACAAAGCAGTCTCCACAAGGCATGATCAGTTTCAGAACTAAATGTTACAAACCATAAGCTGCACTGTCCGCCTTCCCTATAACGGCCAACGTCACGAATGCTGGTTTTCTTTTAAAAAAACCCAATTGTATCCCACGTAGAAAAAGGCTGCCAGCAATCCAGGCTACTTTTGATGATAACACGCATCATATTTTCCAATTAAAGGGCTGGATTAATGGGGCCAGGCTACCTTAACAATAATACATATCCCCCATTCCTAAAAAACTGGAAACTGAGGCACGTCTTATAAAACGAGCCATATCTGAAAACAACTTTGCAAAACAAAAAGGCAAAGAAAGAAATATGGCATGTGGCAGAGAACCAAGGAGGGAGGAGTCTGTGAAGAGCAAGGCTTCACCTTTGGAGGGGCTTCAAAGAGCGACAGCAAGCAATCTGCATCACAAGGACAGACCTCCAAGGTGCACGGAGCTGCTGAGAGCAAAGCCCCCTCCCCGGGGTGTAAGAGGCGAGGAGCAGGACTGGAGTGTGCCCATCAGTCCCACCGAGGCTGCTCTTGCAGTGACGTTAACCTACCGTTGAGGAGACCCTCGAGGGGAAGTGGGGCTGGGAGGCACCCAGGGGATCCGGCTCTCTCGAACAGGCGGCTTGGTCTCCTTGAGCCGGAATGCAACGGTGGTGTCTTGAAACCGGGTGTGCTTGGCTTGAGGCTGCTCAGCTTTCGGCCTCTGAGGTCGACAACTTCCCTTTAAGAAACAAAACAAGCCTCTTCAGGAACATTAATGTTAACAACTGTAATTCTGAGCAGCAAGACATTATGCTGTACGCAATGCTCCCTCTAAGCTGTGGAGTCTTGTGAGCAAAAATTCTGCTTGGTGAGCTACTGGCATTAAAGTTGTGAGCAAGTGATTTGGTTACTACCAATGCTCCCTCTAAGCTGTGGAGTCTTGTGAGCAAAAATCCTACTTTGTGAGCTACTGGCATTAAAGTTGTGAGCGAGCAATTTGGCTACTGCATGAATTAGTTTACTCTGGAGCCATCCTTCCTGAGCCAAGACAAAAATCCGTGAGCCGGAGGCTAAAAAACTGTGAGCTAGCTCACACTAGCTCAGCTTAGAGGGAACACTGGTTACTACATAAATTAGTTTGCTCTGGAGCCCTCCTTCCTGAGCGAAGACAAAAATGTGTGAGCTGGAGGCTAAAAAACTGTGAGTTAGCTCACACTAACTCAGCTTAGAGGAAACACTGGCTGTATAGGAAACCATATGACAGCACCTGAAAATTAAGCTCAGGGATGCAGAGGAGGAGGAACTGTGCTGATGATAAGTCTGTACCTGAGGTCTGGCAGAAAACGCCACTCCTTTCTTCTTCAGTGGGCCACCTTTGAGTCCAGAGGCCTTTTTCACAGGCCCGAGTCTTCCCAAGGCCTCCCTGGGTCTGCCCTGAAGAGCTCCACCTTGCTCTGGAATCGGCAGATTCTCCTGGGCTGTTGTGCTGGAGTGATCTGCCATCTTTTCTGGTGACCACACCTCTTCAGTCTGCTGGTGGTCATCTAAAGACCATAATCACAGTACTGTTTCAGTACAGAATTAGGAAACCCTTTAATGCCATCCTGAATTACTCCTGTGCTCAGGAATAACCAGGCGGACAGCAAAAACAAAACAAACGCAACTTTGATTCTTAATCTCTCTCAGGATTAACAGAACCTGAAATCAAGAGCAGAAGAAAGTTCAACACTGGCTAGACAAATAAGGGCTACAGAAGGAGATATTCTGGGCTGTCACAAGTATATTTCTTGTTTGTGGGCTCCCCTGTGGCATCACACCGGCCACTGCTGGAAACAGGGTGCTTGACTAGATGGACCACTGGTCTGATCCAGTATAGCTCTTCTTATGTCTTTGCCACTGCCAAAGTCCTGCCTTTGTCATGGACCAGAATTAAGCCTACTTTAGATTTGGAGGGTAACTGAATTCAGTAGTTTTGCCCAAACAAAGCAAACAGATGGCAAACCCCAACTTGGAAATCCAGAGTCAGACTGATCCTCAGCTTCTTAATGTGGCTGAATGAGAAGGAGAATCAGCAGCTACTGGGGATGGGCAAGTAAGAAGATGCAAAGGGAGCTGAGAGAGGAGAGAGAGAAGAGGTCTGCAAAGCTGCAGTGTGTAGAATGGAGAGCCAAGTGATGGCTTCTCTCGCTACTCACTACCGCGAGGTGTGTGGAGTCAGGACGTGATAAGAATTAGATCCAACAACAAAAGCCACGTAATGCCATTTTTATTGAAACCAACCGAAATAACACAATACAGTGTGCAAACTTTCCAAGTTGTCCTGATCTCTTCATCAAGCTGAAGGGTTCTTCAGCCTGAAGAACTCTTCAGTTTAATGAAGAGATCTGGAAAGCTCGCACATCTCTCATCTCTGCCCACAATGATTAAAGCAGAGATGTTTTTGTTTCTGCAAAGCAAGATCTCGGAAGAATACAGATTTCAGCTGCTCACATACAAACCCATAAAATCTTGTCCACCTTCATAGTTGGAAGGGAGAAGTCTTCTGGCCACCGGTGGCTTTTTGGGCTCCAGTGCACCAACTTTCTTCTCTCTGCTTGGCACCCTGTCCCTGCTCAATGGCAGCTCAGCCTGAGATGCAGAAGGCCATTTCTTCCCTTTCTTGGGTGACTCCTTCTTGGACAGCAAAGAATCCAAATCCTGCCACCACAATTTTTGTCTCTTATTAAACAAGCAAAGTGTAAGCACCATTTTCCACCTTGCAAAGTGCAAAGATCAAACATGTGGCAACTGTCAAAAAGCCTCTTAACTTCCTGCCAGAGAAAAACCTGCCTTTATTATATAGTCTCTGTTTGCTACCAGATTTGGAAATGACAGACTCATAGAATCACAGAGTCGGAGGGGGCCAGAGAGGCCATCTACTCCAATCCCCTGCTCAATGCAGGATCAGCCTAGAGCATCCCTGACAAGGGTTTGTCCACCCGCTGCTTAAAGACTCAGTTAAACTCAGTTAGTTCTAAATATTTGACATTTAACCTGCACAATGGGCAATTAACAAAAAAATTGTAGCAAAAGCACAGCCTTTAAGCATGTTTTCAGAAAATATTCTTTGGCCCCGGTCACACGGCAAAGTTGCTGTGGGAGAGGCACGGATGGTGGGCGGATTATCCAGGCGCAATCACACCCCAACATCTGGGAAGTGGAGCGCACCCGTGGCTTACCACCGACAATGCGAGTTAAAAAACTAGTACCTCCAAGGTACTAGTAAACGTTTGCCACGGGCTGCCTCCAGACGCCCGTGGTGTGATCGTGCCGGTGCGCGGCATCCCCCTCTGGTCCCTTGTTTACCCGCTGGCGCCGAAGGAAAGACCCGTGGTGTACCGCCGGCGCGTCTGATCGCGTAATTGCGGATCAAACTGCGCCGGGGCAGTTAGCCACACCTCCCCCCCACCCCCGCGATATCCGGTCCTGTTTGCTACAGAGCCACAAAGGACTTTATTGAAGTGGGTTTGGTGGCAGCAGCTCCTTTTGCTGTTTAGCCCCCAACAGCCCCCCTGCAATGGCTACAACACACACTTATCTCCCAGGCTTATTCGTGTGGGACATGTCACCTCTGTGGGACATACAAATCTGCTTCCCAGCCTGTTTGGCACTGTCTCTGAGCCACTGACCAAATGAAGAAACCCTCTCTCCCCCCATCACCTCTATTTGCAGCAGTAAATCTATGATGACGTCAGGGACAGAGGATCCCATCTCGAGGCGGGCAGAGCAAAGGGACAGCTGCCGGATGAGGTTGCCCAGTTCCTTGCAGTGGGCGGGAGCCGGATGGTGTTCTGATTGGCTGGCAAAGTGAGCAGCAAACATCTGCAAAGCCCGGACTGCACCTCTATGAGCTGCTGCCAGCCTGGCCATGGCTCGTGACTGCATCACAAAGGAAGGAGAGAAAGAGGGCCCATGAGTTAGCTGGACCCTGTTCCAGGGACTAGTGTCAGCCAGGCTAGCTACGAGAGACAAGTTTCCACTCACAGGCCCCAGTATTCAAAGCAATCCTTTGCTGCAGCCTATGCCTGAAGAATGCTTTGGCAGAGAGGCTATGTGGCTGGATTCCACACTGATGCAACAGCACTAAGGAAACACAGAATGCCTGCAAATAAAACAGCTGGGCTTGAAATACCCACCCTTAAACAGGTCTGCAGTGTCACTGCATTTAGAATGCCATGTACAGCTCTAATCTCCCAATCTCAAAAACAGTAAGTTCAGGGACCGACATAGAAGCTGTGCCAAATAATGATATACCGAAGCACTGCTTCAAATGATGCACATTGGATGAGCCCCGTAAACTAGAGAAAGTGATGCCAACAATTTGCAATTTGGAGATGGCAACCCTACTTGTACACGGAGACCAAGAATAGTCCCCCTCCTGACTTCAGACAGAACCATCTCAAGGAATAAACTTTAAACTTCGCCCGTACTTATATGACAGCTAGGCGCTCCACTATCTAAAATTGTGTGTTTCTCAGTTACTGTATAGATTGTCACTTCTATAACTGTTAGACATGAAGTATTATCCACTTGTACAGTTTACAGTTTGTTTGTGTTAAATGTTATATTTTCAAAAAATTATAAATAAAGTCTTTTTTTAAAAAAAGGATACTCCCCAAAGCCCTTCCTTTTGTTTCAAGGGTCTACTGGACTCAAACTTTGTTCTGCTGCTTCAGACCAACACGGCTACCCCACCTGTCTACCGTTATTCTTTCCTGAGAAATCATGCCAGTCACCCGCATAGATGTCAAAGAACTAAGAAAGCTGCAGAAAAGGGCAACCAAAGTGATTAAGGGGACGTGACGTGAAAGGCTAAAAAGTTTGGAGCTTTTCCAGTTAGAAACATAAAAGTTGCAGTTGCAATACACACTACAAGAAGACACAATACAGATTTAAAAGCATGCACTGGGTAGAAAGAGGGAGTGTTCTCCCCTCTCATAATACTAGAGCACAGTGTCACCTAAAAGAAAGTAGATTTATTAGACAAAAGGAAGTGCTTCTCCACACAATGGATTTTCTCCCTCACCTTCCTTGTGTGTTTGATTCTCTGAGGACTTAGCTTCTCCAGCTCTTCTTGGATTTCTTTTACCTATTAAATAACATATTACAAACAAATTAACTAAACAGAAACATTTCTAAGCAGTTTGCACAGCAGAGTTCAGACCCAAGAATCCCAGTTCTGAGGCTTCTGACTGCATGGTTTATGAAGACCAAACGGTAGAACTGGAATAACAAAGTTCAGGTCCAAATTATAACTTCTCTGAAGCCCAGAGATGCCTCAGTCAGGGACTGAGCAGAGATCCAGCCATCTTACACAGCACCACAGAGAATGCACTGTGTTCTCATTATGCATTCAGGGCCTATTCTTTTAAAATATTTATTCCATTCTCTCCGTTAAAATACTCCAAGGCAGTTCACAACAAATCATTAACATGCATGACAGTAAAGAAAGTAATCCAGCATAAAAATATAAAGCAGGTTTAAGCAACACCAGAGAATAAAACACAATCTTTTTGTAAAAAAAGATTGAAAAAGCGTATCAGTTGCAATACACACTACCAAGAAAACCACAGGCAAAAAGGGGGAAAGTAATAAAATACCAGCAGCAAACAGCATCCCAGAGAAGACAAAACATGTTGGTAAACCCCTGGAAAAACAACAGAATTCTCCCCCCCCCCTTGCCTAATGTTTAGCATGCCTCACTCCAGGTGAACTGCTGGGGAAATAGAATTCCACAATTGAGGAGTCATCACAAAAAAGGCTCTATCCCTAGTGGCCACATATTTTACCTGAAAAAGGACACATACAGAGCAGGGCCTCTGCGGAAGAATCAACTACCAGGCAGATACTATGGGAGCAGGTGCTTATTTAGATACCTTTAAGGCCCTAAACAGTGTAAGAAAAGGGTAAGAACCAGCACTCTGAACTGTGCTCAGAAACAAATTGGCAGACAGGACGCTTCTCTTAGGACTTGCAATGAGCTTTCTCTATAGCTTATGTCAAACAGTAATCATGCTGTCACACTGTGAACTGACTGAAATTTCCGAACAATTTTCAGAGGCTGTCCCACAAACAGCGTGTCGCAGTAGTCTAATCTGGATGTGATCAGAATGTGAATAACTCTGGCTGTAGCTCACTTTTGAAAGAAAGGCCACTGCTGGCGCAAGTTGCAACAAGCCACAGGGGAGACCTGAGTACAGAGGAAAAATGAGCAACACTCTTGCCTGTTGCCGCAGCACATACAGCATTCGTGCAGAGCGCACAGCCTGCTCCTGCCTCCGAACACGGACACGGCGCTCTTCGTCAGGGTCCAAAGTTTCTTCACTTCTCTCTGGAACAAAAGACAGTTCAGCAAAACAAAAAGTGATGAGTCTGGAATGAGTTATTAACCTGAGGAAATCTTGCTGCAGTGAAAATGAACAGCCTACAAGAAAAGCCCTGCTTGAAAGGATGGAGAAAGATCAGGCAATCTGCACATGAGGCTAGCGCCCCCCCCCCCAAAGAAGTGTTAATTACTCTCTGGCCCCAGCAGAGCAAGAGCCTTTGTTCCAGACCACAGTAATCCTGACACTTCCAAGGACTATGCAGGAAAAGCCAGAACACATTTTTAAACATCCATTCTAACATGGAAACTGTAAAACATTTTACACAACACATAAGGACATTCCCATGATATTCAGACCTAAAAGACATCAGCCAGGCTTGCCACTACTATGACTTTGAAATCTGTCATTCATCTGGTCTGTCAAACCTCCAAGGAGCAAACAGGCTGCATGCCCAACACAGCATCATGTGTTCCTTCCAACCCAGCATTAAGAGGTCACCAACAATGGCAGCAACTGGAATGGACTCTGCTGCATGTCTTGGACACAGACACCTCCCACACCCAGGGAGAGGAGCCCCAGAGACACCATTTTCCCTAGAGCTGGGATGAAAGACTGAGATTTTGCCACTATCAAAGCAGCGGCTATATCCCCCTCACCTTTTTTGGCCAGCTCTTCTATTTTCTGGATGTAGTTCTGTAGCTCCTTTTGGAGCCGCCTGACCTCCAGGGCGGTCTTATCTTCCTCCTTTCTGGGCCCAGGTCCTGGGTCACGGGTGGGGGGCGAATCAGATGAAGCAGCTTTCGATTTGATCCGACTTGGGGTGTAGAGGTAGACTTTAGCTCCAGAGCTGGTTGTCTCCAGTATGGAACAATTGCCAAGCTGGCGTTCATCCTTTTGGAGGAAGTTTGATGCTCTTGACCCTGCAACATTTTCAGATTCCTTCCTTCTGGTCTGCCCAGGCCCCCCAGGGCGAGCAGGTACAATCTTGCTCTCGCTGAGCAGATGCTGTCTCACTTGCTCCTCCAGATGTCTTCGCTTCACATCCCTTTTGGCCAGTTGAACAGCCAAATTGAGTTTCTCTTCAGATACCACGGAAAACTCAACCGAGTTTATGACATCCAATCCATCACCGGCACCTTGATCCTTCCTCTTCCCAGGCTGCTTCAGCTTTTCTATTATAATTGGACGAGGGTTGGTGTATTGGAAAGCCAAGTTCTCTGGCAGCACAGAAACATTCCGACTGAACTGGAGCTGTTTCAAACATCAAACAACATTGTCTAAATCCTTCTCTGGGTCATGTTTCTAAGCAGAGCACTCATGGGGAGGGGGGGCAATAGGTCACAAGGTAAATCAGCAACCCTGACAGATGCCAGGCTAAATTTGTCTTGAAATTCCCCAAGGGAGGTGACTGCAGACATACACAGCTTATGCAGCCTCAGCCTTTGAAGATTTTCATTAAAAAACACCAATGCGACAGGAACTGAAAAACAATGGTGTATCTCAGTTGTTCAATACTGCTTACACTGAAGCACAGCAATGTATCTTGTTGGTCTCCTAACGTTCAGCTGGTGCATTACATCTCTTTAGTATAAACTTGTACAGCACTGCCGCATTTGGGAATAAACTCCAGCAAAACTCCATGGAACTTGAACCACCATACAGAAAAACCCAATTTATATCACATATACAAAACAGTAAGGCCCTTTTTGTCTTACAGGCAAAAAGTGCTGAAGGCACAGGTCCGTGCAAGACATTTCTATATATCAGTGTGTGCCCCTTTCCACCAACATTTATTTATTTATTATTTGTTCAAATGTATAGCCCGCCCTCCCTGCAACGGGCTCAGGGCAGCTCACAAATAGGGCAACATGTGCCAATAGTTAAAACACAAATAGGGCAAAAAATGCCAATAGTTAATCAATAAAACAAGATAAAACCAACCGGGAACCGTCCCTCCGAGAGAGACATGTTGATAATCTCCCGTAGGGGACCTCACAACCCCTCGTGGCCTGCTTTAATGAGCCAGGAGAGGCACGGATCAAGGCTGCATGTGGTTGGGCGTACTGATACGAGCAATCTGTCAACTTCCTCCAGGCTGAGTAGGCTGAAACATTCTAAACCTGGCATCGAAGACGTGCAAGGGGCCTCAAGTTTGCTCACTGTTTCAACTGTGGCGGGGAGACCACGGCAGAGCGCCAAGATTTTATCTGCAAAATAGCTTGCAAATGCCTCACAGCCAATACCCAATCCCCTAACATTTTGCCCGCCCTGTGGCAGGACTGTCAAAGACCGAATTGTTCTAAACAATTGTGCCGGGCATGAGCTAGCAGATGTAATCATGGTCGCATAGAATTCTCTCTTTGCAGCCTTGACTGCCATCTCATAGGATCTCATAAACGTCCTATAGGATGCTCTTGATGCCTCATCGCGAGCACGGCGCCACCGTCTCTCTAGTCGTCTCAGCTCTCGCTTCAGCTGCCGCAGCTCCTGAATATACCAGGGCGCCCGCCTAACGCGAGTGCGGAGAGGACGCCTGGGAGCGATCTCGTCGATGGCTGCAGACAGCCGGCCATGCCAGTCCTCCACAAGCTCATCCAACGACCCACCAGGGGGGCTCGGATCCCGCAGAGCCATCTGAAACTGCATAGGGTCCATTTGGCTCCGTGGGTGAGCTAAAATCTGCTCGCTGCCTAAACAGGGTCGGGGTGGAACATTGAAACAGGCCTTCAGGGCATAGTGGTCCAACCATGGCATTGCTGCAGCAGTGATTCAGTCCACTGACACCCCAGCCACAAAGACCAAATCAAGCATGTGACCAGCCCGATGTGTGGGAGCCGATACCAGTTGAGAGAATCCCAGTGCCGCCATGGAGGACACTAGGTCCGTAGCCCGGCTGGTCCATGTTACACTGGTCCATGTCACCTAGGAGGCAGCAGGTGACTGGAATAGATACTTATTTCTAAAAACCTTTCAAGCCCATAAAACAAACTCAGAAGCAGAAAAGTAAGCTGAAATTTCACAACACCTGGGTTTGCAGAGTCCTTGCTTCGCTTTTGCTCGGCTGGGGCAGGGACGTCAAAGGCACACAAGCTGCAACTGGTTTCCCTGGTCCCATTACACTCGACAGAAAACTTAGATAATGGTAATTTATTGTTGTCTACGAGAAGAACGCTGCTGAAATACCAACAGGAAACTAATGTTAGGATTCCCACTGATGCATACACTTCTCTATTTACGCCTAAAGAATCTGTTGTAGTTTAAGAAACAAAGACCTAAGTTGGACCCCCATTTCCCAAACATGTCTAGAAGTATAGCATCATCCTATGAGATGCTGCTTCAGGAAATACTTTTTTTACGATATGGCAAAAAAATACAAAGGGGGACAGGGTAAAAAATTCTGCTGGACTGAAATAAGGTGGATCCACTTAGGCCAACATCCCACCTCTAATGGAAGATAAACAGACGTTTTTGGGAAACACACAATTAGGCCATGGAGGCAACAGTTCTCCCCAGTTGTTTTTTTCTTCAAGCACCTGGAATTCAGATGCAGGCTCTCTTCTGTACTTTTAACATTCGTACAGAAGGGGGCATTTCAGCAGATGCAACTTGTCCTACTCCTACATATGAAAAGCTGCACCAGTCAGAATCCCCTCTTCTACACAATCATCCAAAGGTCCAGGAGTCCCTCTACATCTGTCCTTGATCCCTGATCTGTATATAACTGTACCAAAGAGCCACTCTGAGGAACAGTCAGAAGAGGGAAGCACGTGAAAGCCCCAGAGCCAATAACCGCTCACCATGTTCCTGGCTCCTCCAAGACTAGCATATGACGGCAGCTGCTGATGCCTCCCCTAGATGAAAAAAACCAAGAAAGTGCAATGCCACAGGCTGCTGGGCTGGCTCAACAGCAAGAGGGTCAGAAACATCTTTCCAGGTAGACCTGAAACACTTTGTCAGGAAGAGCTGCCTGACCAACACAGATGAGAAACCACAGGTTAGGAAGGGATGTGATGCAGCTATGGGTTGCTCACCTGCCTGCCACTCCCATTTAGATTGGACTGGAAAATGTTCATGCAGGAATTGATCTCTCCCATGGCTTTTAGCTACAAATGCTAAGCAGAACTTCCATATCTAGAAGTAAACTAACTCTGAGCAGCACATACCAGGGACAGACAACTTGGAAAGTCCCTCCATGCCAATCAGCCAACAAGTTTCCAAAATGTATATATTGAGGCAACAGGGGAAAGAAGCAGGATAGGACTATTATCTTCATGCTCCCGGGGGGGGGGGGGGGGGTGTCTCCCGAATGCAGCCTTTGTACCCATAAGAATTTTATAAGGGTTCAGATGGATTAAGACAGGAACAGAATCCTATGCACAGCTACTCCTATCTAATCTAAACTGTAGAATAAAGTCACAAGGTTTCACCAAAAGTTGGATCCCTCTATTCTAGCACTCTATGTCCCAAAACTGCTAGTCTAAAGGACTAATATGCATAGGCACAAAGCCTTTCCCTGTTGCTCCCTCCCAAGTGCTATTCAGAGGTACCCTGCTGCTGGACATGGAAGGTCTATCCATTCATTGTGGCTAATAACCGTAACGTGAGCGCGATCCATTATGAATGGATCCTTGACCCTTTATAACAGCCTTGCTAGATCGGGGAGGGGGACACCTAAACCAGTATCCCGCTTTCAACAGTAGCCAACCAAAAGCCTCCTAGAAGACCTAAGCAGGGCATGCAAACAGTTTACCTCAGCAGGTACACTACCCCTGAACAGGGAGGCTCCATTTGGCCATTGGGGAGGGTAGCTAGGCCAGGCCTCCACAGGCCTACTATCTCGAACAGCGGTAGGTTCGAAAAGAACGCGGAGTTCTTCGGCCAAGCTTGCCTTACAGCACTCGCTCGACGGCTACCACCACTTCTTGGCCTCCAAGCGCGTTCCTTAGCAACTGCGCGCCGCCCGGAGAACTGTGGGAAACGGCCTCCGCCGGCAAGAGCCAATCACACGCTCGGGAAGAAGCCGGCCAATCCGTTTACCGGCGTGTCCCTGCACGGCCGCCGTCGCGTAGGAGGTATGGCTTTTCTTTGCCTACCTTGGTGGCGCTTCCGCCTTTCCAGTTTGCCTTCGTCATGAGTTGGGAAGAGGTGTCGGTACGAGGCTATGCGGAATTCGAACAGGCGTGCCGGGAGCAGCAGCGGCGGGGGCGGCGAGTCTTCGCCTACTTCAGCGGCGACAAGGATTCGGCTAGTGGCGCCAGCTGGTGTCCGGATTGCGTGAAGGGTGGGTGGAATTTGCACGTGTGTATGGATTTACGCCTTTCTGTGTTTCTTAGGTGACGCGGGTCTTCTTGTCGCCGGCTGGCCGCATAGATCCAACACAGCGACATCCCTAGAGGGCTCTTCTCCTGATTCTCCCTCCTCCGTTCCAGTTAAATAAGACATTACCGCTTAACTTGTTCCCATGGGGAACGATGCGGGGATAACTGCATTGGTGTCTCTTATTAACTTAAAATATCTCTAAGCTCCTTTCAGTAAATTAAAACAGGAGACCAGAGGCACCGTTTATAAAATAAAACCACACGTTCCACTGTGAACAGTGACCATAATATGAACTTGTGGGTTGCCTGACAAAAATATGTAATCTTTCATTAAAATCTGCCTCCATTCCTGAGGACTGGAAGGTAGCTAATTTCACTCCCATCTTTAAAAAGGGTTCCAGAGGAGATCCGGGAAATTATAGGCCAGTCAGTCTGACGTCAATACCAGGTAATTTGGTGGAAACTGTTATTAAGGAGAGAATTAGTACACACATTGACGAACAAAAACTATTGAGGCAGATTCAGCATGGGTTCTGTAAGGGAAGATCTTGTCTCACTAACCTGTTAGTGTTCTTTGAGGGAGTGAACAAACATGTGGACAAGGGGGACCCAATAGATGTTGTTTACCTTGACTTCCAGAAAGCTTTTGATCAAGTTCCTCATCAAAGGTTTCTAAGTAAGCTCAATAGTCACGGGATAAAAGGACAAGTCCTCTTGTGGATCAAAAGCTGGCTAATTAATAGGAAACAGAGTGAGTATAAATGTGCAATTTTCTCAGTGGAGGGTGGTAAGCAGTGGGGTACTGCAGGGATCAGTACTGGGTCCAATGCTAAAAAGCATTGTTCATTAATGATTTGGAGTTGGGAGTAAGCAGTGAAGTGGCTAAATTTGTGGATGACATTAAATTGTTCAGGGTGGTGAAAATCAGAGAGGATTGTGAGACACTCCAAAGGGATCTGTCAAGGATGGGTGAGTGGGCATCAACGTGGCAAATGATGTTCATTGTGGGCAAGTCCAAAGTGATGCACATTGCGGCCAACAATCCTAACTATAAATACACGTTGATGGGGTCCGAACTGGCAGACTGACCAAAGTAGATAACTCACTGAAAATGTCGAGACAGTGTACGACTGCTGGGTATTGAAAACAAATCAGCCAGTATTATAATGCCCCTGTATAAATTGATGGTGCAATACTCTGTACAGTTGTGGTCACCACACCTTAGGAAAGATATTATAGCATTGGAAAAAATGAAGAAAAGGGCAACCACAATGATAAAAGGGTTGGAATACTTTCCCTATGAAGAAAGGTTAAAGCGCTTGGGGCTCTTTAGCTTGGAGAAATGACAACTGAGGGGTGACATGATTGAGGTTTACAAGATTATGCATGGAATAGAGCAGGTAGAAAAAGAAGTACTTTTCTCCCTTTTTTACAATACGAAAACTCATGGGCACTCAATGAAATTGCTGAGCAGTTGGGTTAGAATGGATAAAAGGAAGTACTTCTTCAACACATAGAATTCATTGCCACAGGAGGTGATGGCTGCTACAAGCATGGATGACTTCAAGAGGGAATTGGATAAACATATGGAGCAGAGGTCCATCAGTGGCTATTAGCCACAAGGTATAGATAGGAAATCTCAGTCTGGGGCAAGTGATGCACTGTATTCTTGGGGGTGGGGGGCAACAGTGGGAGGGCTTCTAGTGTCCTGGCCCCACTGATGGACCTCCTGATGGCACCTGGTATTTTTGGCCACTGTGTGACAAAGTGTTGGACTGGATGGGCCATTGGCCTAATCCAACACTGGCTTCTCTTATGTTCTTATGAGCTTTTCTGAGTCAGCACTGACTTACAAAAGTTTATCGTGAAATATTTCCCCCCATCTTTAAGATGCCACTGGAGTGTAGTTTTATTTTGCTGTGGTAGGCTTATTAGGGAGAGTCCAGTAGCACCTTAGACTAACAAAATTTGTGGCAAGATATGGGCTTTCTTGAGTCACTGCAGAAGAAAGCTCATATTTTGTTGTTCAGTCGCTCAGTCGAGTCTGACTCTCCATGACCCCATGGACCACATCACACCAGGCCCTCCTGTCTTCCGTCATACTCCGAAGTTTGCTTAATTTCATGCTCATTGCATCGATAACACTGTCAAACCATCTCATCCTTTGCTGTCCCCTTCTTCTTTGACCTTCAGTCTTTCCCAGCATCAGGGTCTTCTCCAGTGAGTGCTCCCTTCTCATTTGGTGGCCAAAGTATTTAAGCTTCAGCTTCAGTATCTGGCCTTCCAGGGAACAGTTAAGAGTTGATTTCCTTTAGGATTGACTGATTTGATCTCCTGGCAGTCCAAGGGACTCTCAAAAGACTTCTCCAGCACCATAATTCAAAAAGATCTATTCTTCAGTGCTTGGCCTTCCTTATGGTCCAACTCTCACAACCATACATTACTACCGGGAATACCATTGCTTTGACCATATGGACTTTTGTTGGCGGGGTGATGTCTGTACTTTTCATTATGCTGTCTAGGTTTGCCATACCCTGCCTCAAATTTTGTTAGTCTTTAAGGTGCTCTTGTTCTTTTCTGCTGCTACAGACAAACACAACCACCCATCTTGATCTAGGCTTAACAGGATTACCCATATTGAACTCTCTGCTAATTGATATGTTATATTCATGTTGTATGCATTATGGAAATAACTCTTAGGAGCATGCTGTACTGAACTCATTGGGATTTGGTTCCCAGCTGCCACACTTATTGGTCTTTAAGATGCTGTAAGACTTCTTAAATTTGTTGTTCTGTCCTCATTCTAATTAACGCTCAAGGTTTTAGTAAACTTATTGATCCTGTGCTTATGATATGGTCTACCCACAGACATTGTTCTGTATATTGAAAGAACTCCTCAAATCACACAGGATACATGTTAATCTGCAAATTAACAAAGGGCGGAAACCTCCAACACAGACTAATGTGTATATTAATTCCTCCCTAGGAGGTATGGATTATTGAGAGAGATCGAGTATTCATTAAAGGGTAGGGAAATAATTGGCCACTCAAACCTCTAACAGCTTAAAGCATCCTGGAGAGGATGATTGGGGGATGGGAGGTAATTTCCCAGTTGTTCCCCTGCGAATGCTTTACCCTACAACAAATCTTGCTGAGTTCATAGTCAGAAGAGGCCTTAGGTGTCATGTAGTCCAATTCATTTCTCATACTGAAAATCCAAAGCATTCCGGCCTCTGCTTGAAGAACTGCAGCAAGGAAGAGCCTACCCACCACCCATGGTAATTAATTTCATTGTCAGCAAGACTACTTTCAGGTACATCTGCTTGTGATTGCAGCATTGTGAGGCACGCATGCTAATCTGACTGGAAAACAAAGAGCTGAGTGATACATTACTTATTTGAGTCTTCAGGGCTGGTAACTGAATGCACAAACAGATTTCATTGACAAGCATCATGTTTGGACTGATACGGGGCAATAGGAAACCTCTGTGCTTGATCCATTCACACTTGCATTTTCATGACTTGGTAGCTGCAAGATTGAGTAATGGTTGCTTGCTTGTGTCCAGGGGCCACCACAGATCAAGCAGAGAAATTCCATGTTACATTATATTACACCAGACACAATGCTTTTTAAGTGGTAAGCAAAGGTGGGGTAGGAACTGGAGGGCTTTGGAATCGATGTAAATACTAAACACTTACTGTGTGAACTCATAATAAAATTCTTCCTTTTTTTTTTTTTTGCTGGAGGGCGTTGGAATCTATATAAATACTAAGCATCATAAAATTCTTCCTTTTTTTTTTTTTAAAGCGGAGCCGATTGTGCGAGCTGAGCTCCCTAATATGCCGGAAGCATCTGTATTCATTTACTGCCAAGTAGGAGACAGACCCTAGTAAGTAATACCGTGTGTGGGAGTCAGCACACATTGTTTCTGTTTTATCGAAGCTTGTTCTGCTCCTGCGATGAGGGCAGTTAAACTAAGGAGGAAGCAGGAGCCAAGGACGTTGTGCTGGTTTGAACTGCACCTGGTTAATGGAAATGCTGCTAAGCTCTCTTCCATTCCTTCCAGCAAAAAAAAAGCTCTGGAAAGCAAAGTGATCATCAGGTGGCCTCACTAAACATTAACTCCTATGAAACATGTGTGAACAGTGCAGGAAGCACACCTTTGCAAATAATTGCTCTAGAGACGCTGCTCTCTGAGTGCATCCCAGAGACCAGATTTGCTGAAGTTCAGCTGCTTTTTCTGCAACCTGTAAATGACCGTGCTGTAAAACTGTCTTGCTGCTGCTGCTCAGCCTGTGTGTTTTGCAGGACTTTGGTCTCCATTGTGATCTCCCTCTGCTGGATGGCTGTTTTTATGTGGTGGACTTTTATCTTCCTGCCTGAGGGTCCACCCCCTTTGAAGCATTTGCTTCATGTCTGGCTGATCTTAGCATGAATCCCCACAACCTAAACAAAAAGGATACGGGTTCCTAGTTAGACAGCTGAGGGTTACTTCACGGGAACCAGACTTCAGGTATATACTTCAGCATCTTAGGCATGCACCCAAGATGCTATGACAGCACTTCTGCAGACATATCTCCTTGTTGGGGATCTGTGATTGGCTGCTGCATCTTCTTGGGTGGTACTCAGTGGCCGTTTGTACTTCCTTTTGCATAATATATGAAATTCTCCTCTGTGGGTTGGAATACTTATTCATGCATTTGCTTATCTTAAATTTCATGTATCTTATTACATTTTATCTTCCCCTTGTCTACCACAATCTATCCTGCCCTTTGTCCAGAGAGCAGAATATCCTTTCTCAGGATAGCACATCACCCTCAGAACAACCCTGGATCCAGGCATATTTTCTGTGCCATTCCCTCTTGAAAGGGTACTAGACAGGGTCGCCCTCTTTCCTCTTATTTTTGATTTTTGTCTGGAACCTCTGGCTTGTGCCATGAGACAAAATAATATTTATGGCTTTGTACATAAAAGAAATTATGTTTAGGATGCACTGGACACTACAGTGACTCTTTAGCAAAGGATTGAGTAAAGTGTCTAATTGCTGGCAGTGTAACTCCCAGGATGTGTCCAGTCATTTCGTTTTTTCTGGGAAGAACGTACTAATATCAATTTTGTATTAGAATGTTCATTGATTTTTGAGGATGCTTATGCACCTTTAAACTATTTGCCTGTCTCTTGGAGGCTAACTGATGGTCAACCCTTTGTGCCCTTGCTACAGCTAAAAGATTAGTGTTACAACATTAGAAAGATCAAGAGCCCACCTCTGTTAAATCAGTGGATTGAGGACCTTAGAACTTTGATCAATATTTGAATGTATGGCATATAGCTTGCAATTGCACATGGACTTATTTTTAGATATTTGCAAACCGTTTATAGAAACTTATTTGTAGATCCGCCACCAGTTGTACTTTTATCTTTACGCATTCCTTTTTAAAAAATATTTAGTTGCTGGATTTTTAAGGGTTCAAAAAACTGTGGTCAAGCCGAGTGCATGTGACTGGCTCAAGGGCAGCCAGTGAGCTTCCTGGCAGAGTAGGGATTTAACTCTGGAACTCCCAGGTCCTAGTCTTAACATTTTAACCACTACACCAAGTGGAAAGCTTGCTCCTGTATAATGATTGCCCTGTTGGATGAGATCAGATGTGGCACATTGAAACTTGATTGCTTCTTTCTCCCAGTGGCCAAGGGAGAGCTACTTGGGCCCCGGTCACACGGAACATTAGCCACGCTACAGAGACGGAAGATAGGCGGATTTTCCGGGTGCGATCACAGCGCCACATCTGGGAAGCATAGAGCTCCCGTGGCTCACCCGAGGCTTCCCGCCGAAGATGCGGGGTAAAAAACTAGTACCTCGGAGGTACTAGTTTCCGGAAACCGCGGGGCAAGGGCGGGCGTCTGGTCGCGTTTCCGGTGGCATCCGGCGCCCACCCATGTCCCCTCGCAAAACGGTTTGCCCTTTCCCCCCCCCCCAAGTCTCCATGGGATGCGCACAAGCACCCAACGGAGCATGCGCACATTTCAGGGTTTTTTCTAAAAAAACCACAACCCCGTTTGCCGCGCCACCCTGCTTCTTTGCCTCATCGTGTGATCGGCACCTCCCCCCTAACCACGGGACCTCAACCGGACGCCTGATCGCGCAGTCACACGTTATTTTGCTCCGGGGCAAACACCCACGCTTCCCCCCGCCCTGCATTTTCCGGCCCGTGTGACCGGGGCCTAAGTAGGGCATAATGGTGAATGCCGCCCTGTGCTGGGTGCATGAGGCAGTATCCCCCATATCATACCACTAGCTTTTCATTTCCTAACTCTCCCACTTAACTCTTGACAGACATATCCTCTGTACATTTCTTTATCCTTTATAAACCCACTGAGACTGATGTGAAAAAATTTCTCCACAGCTGGAAAGATCCCAAAAATGAGTTCAGAAAGAATCTTAAGCTCACTGGAGTGCCTACATTACTTAAATATGGAACTGTAAGTATTTTTCAGCATATAGCTGCTGAATGCTGGCTTGATAGGGCATTATTTGGTCAAGGGGGACTTCGCTTTACATGTGTTATTCTTACTGCAAATTCTGCTGTGAATCTGCAGCCTCCTTGTGTTCATTTTATTTGGAAGCATGTTGGACCAAATTGGAGTTACAGTCCTCTCCATACTTGGACTAAGCCCCACTGACACAGTGCAGCTTATTTCTGAGTAAAATGCATATAGGCTCATGCTGTCAGTCTCATGCTTTCTGAGCCAGTTTGGTGCAGTGGTTAAGTGCATGGACTCTAATCTGGGAGCACCGGGTTTGATTCCCCACTCCTCCACTTGCAACTGCTGGATGACCTTGGGCAAGCCATACTTCTGACAAGAGCTGACCTTGAAAGGCAGTAATTGAAAAAGCTCTCTCAGTCCCACCTACTTCATAGGGTGTCTGTTGTGGGAAGGGGAAGGAGTTTGTAAGCCGCTCTGAGACTCTGAGTGAAGGGTGGGGTATAAATCCAGTCTCTTCCTCTTCCTCTACATATAGGTGGTGGAAAATTAACTGATGTACTGTGGTACCTTTGGAAAGTTTATATTAAACGAAAGAAAACCCTTGGTGTTCCTTAGACTTGGCTTGTGCTCTTCTGTACCCAGTGAACTTTAAACCAATGGGGAAATGATTCATAGCTTTAACCTTGGGGAGTGTAATACTTTCTCCTAGGAAACATGAAAAACAAACTCGTCAGGCACAGAAATCAAGCTGCATAACTATTAAAATGCAAAGTGTGTTCTGTAGGGGTATTAACTTCTGTGCCTATCTTAATTCTTGTTTCAGCCTCAGAAGCTGGTGGAAGAAGAATGTTTTAAATCAGAGCTCGTGCGTATGCTGTTCACAGAAGACTGAATTCATTTTGCATTCATCATGATGCTGCTACCATCTGTTAAGCTGCTCAAAGCACCCTGAAGGGACCATGCTCACATCTTTGCTTCTGTGCAGTCTCTGACACTCATCTATCTGTATTTAAGTAAAGCAGTGCTCAAATGCTGGGGAAGAAGTATGGTGTGGGGCCTCATGTGATCTGGAAATGGGTTGATTTAAATAAATGCGTAGCGACAGATTGGATTCATTAAAACATCTGAATATAAACTGTATATGTATTACATTCCGGAAAAAACAGTACTCTCCAGTTAGTATGTAAAAAGTTACTCTATCGTCCCTTCTTCTAGTGAAGCCAGTACCTACTGCAAAGTTAACCCTCTCCCTCCTGCGAAAGAACAGATTTTTCTTTTTGTCATCAGGTTGCAGCCAACTTATGGTGACCCCACAGGATTGTGAAAGCAATTGACATCCAGAGGTGGTTTGCCATTGCCTGCCTCTGTGTAATGACCCTGATATTCCTTGGTGGTCTCCAGTTCAAATACTGACTAGAGCCAATGCTGTTTAGCTTCTGAAATCGGGCTGCTCTGGGCCATCCAGGTCATGGAACAGAATTTTACATGTATCAATTTGGGGTGGGGTAGAACTTCGAATCTTGCTGCTTTCTCCCATCTAAGCTTATGGGTCACCTCCCTTTTTGACTCATTAGAAACCATGGTGCCTTGAGTACCTAAAGGCTCTTGGCTAAGCTCTAGTTCCCTGGGCTGTGGCTCTGTAGGAGTCTTTCAATATAACCATGTCTGTCTTACCGCTAGAACTGCCTCTTCATAGACATGTTTTAAGGGAAGGGAGGGGCTGAATGTATCCCCCTGTTCTACAGAACTGTACCTTTTCATCAGTCTTTGCATAAGCATGTTAAACTGTAAAGTGTTCAAGGACAGAGCAAGGGACAATATTGAAAAGCAAAAAAGGGATTCCAATACTGAATCAGATCAAAATCACTTGGTGGTAAGCACAAAAGCAAAGGAAATGTGAATCTTACAGAAAATGTTTTAGCTGCCACCTCAATAAGGAAGCCCTGAACAGAAGCGAGAAAGTGTTCCTTCCTAGGACTGTACCAAATTGAATGTCTGTGCCTTATACAACATCATCCATGCATATGGTACTTTACAGACCTTTTATAAACATCCAAGCTGCTGCTCTTGAGCTTACAATAGAAGAGATGCAAATGCAGACAGGAAACAGGTACACCTAACATTCTGGTGACCTTTAAGAGCAAGGCTGAAGCCGAAGAGGGCTTCTGGGGAAAAACCCCAGTAACAATAACAAGGTAGATTAAATTGATTTTTTTAAAAAAGACTTGAGGAAAGTTTTTAATTTATTTAAATCAGCCATGTCATGACAAAACCAACCAAGGGTAAATCGCTTACCCCTTGCTGTCTGGGTGTTCACCCAACATTAGCACATTTGCTTCCCTTTCAAATTTACATTGCATCAAGCAAGGGCCCCTGCCCTAAAAGAAACTGGTTTTGCCAGAAAGTTATTCAAGCTGCCAGAACTGCATGAGGAAACAACATTACTGACTAAGCAAGTTCAAATTCTGAAGCTCTCTAGGGGGAAGAAATGGGAAAGAGAACGAACATGGTTTCTTCTTGTCTATCACATGATCACCTTTCCACCTGACAAATCTGACAGACCAATATGCAGGTATTTCTGAGGCCAGTGCATTCAATCAGTCTGGATCTCAGAACTGCTTTGAGTGCAATACCACTGCTAGTTATGGGAAGATGTACCCCCAAAGCGGACCTCTTATTTTCCTATGGATTTAATAATTCAAAGCCATTAGGTTTTCCCAGCTTTGATCTACCATCACCCACAAAATAAGCATATGAAAAACTCATAAAAGCTGCCTCTACTTCAAACACATGCCCACCCCCTTCTGCTATACCAAAGGGCTGAGCACCTTTTACTAATGCACTTTATACACACGGGCAGAAGCCAGCAGTCCAGTCTTTGTCAAGCTGATAAGCTCCTACAGCTGCCCTTCCCTGACAGTGGAAAGAGGAAGAGAAACTGCTTGTCCGTGGAAACTCATCCAGCCCAATTTTGTATCCAGTCAAGGGGCTCACTTGATGGAGGCACTGTTTTGTTGCTGCTGCTGATCTGCCAGCGCCTGCTGAAGGCGCATCCGCTTGCGGGAGTAGTGCTGCCAGTGGAGAATCTGCTGCTCGTCGATGAACTTGGCACACTGAGCGTTCACCAGTTCTTTCCGGAAGTGCTCGTACTGGAGTAGCTCCAACATGTGCAAACACTGAGGGTACCTGGGTGACAAAAGCGGTTATCAAATGAGTTTTAGGGGCAGTGTTTTAGCATACCTCTTTACCACCCTGCAAGACTGTTACCCAAATAATTCCATGTGGTGAAGGGCGGACTTAAATCAAAAAATCCCAACTTCAATTCATGTATTTACTGAATGTGTAAAGAGATCCTGTAAAGAGATCCGGTTACAACAACCAATTAGTATGCAACTAAAGAGCGCTTTTACACAACCCTATTAGTCATGGAGCCAACACGTCTTTTTTTATCTGATACATTTCATATCTGCTTGGGGGAGCAATTGTGAAATGAAAGGGTTGTGTTTGGCTCTATCTGCAAGGGCTCAAAGGCAGATTACTTATCTAAAGTACCCAGAAATTTACCTATTGGGCAGAACAACATTACTCCCTAACATTGGACAGGCTGCGGTCACACGGACCATTTGCCACACTGACGATACGGATGGTAGGCGGATTTTCCAGGCGCGATCACACCACAACATCTGGGAAGCGTAGAGCTCCCGTGGCTAACCCGAGGCTTCCTGCCAAAGATGCGGAGTAAAAAAAAGTTTCCAAAAACCGCGGGCCAAGGGCAGGCGTTTGATCGCGTTTCCGGTGGACTTAAGTGGCACTCGGCGCCCGTCTCCACAGCTTGCGCAACAGCGCATGCGCACAAAGGGCAATTGCTAGTGCCATGCTTCTGTGCCACGCTCGAGGATACCCGTCTGGTCGACATCTCCCCCCTAACCACGGGACCTCGACCGGGACGTGTGCTCGGGTGGCCACGCGTTAGTTTCCTCCAGGTCAATTAGCCACGCCTCCCCCCCCCCGCAATAGCTGACCCGTATGACCGGGGCCACAGTCTAAACATTCATAGTTTTCAGAGTTATACAGGACAAGAGCCATAAAGAGAAGAAAAATAACCGGTTTTTATACCCCACTTTTCTCTATCCTGAGGAGTCTCAAAGTGTCTTACAATCACCTTCCCTTCCTCTCCCCACAACAGTTACCTTGCGGTATAGGTGAGGCTGAGAGAGTTCTGAAAGAACTGTGGCTTGCCCAAGGTCACCTGGTTCTCCAAATTAGAGTCCACCACTCTTAACCACTACACCACGGTGGCTCTCATGATGATGTTATATAATGCCTGTCCTTGTCACCTATTTTGCTCTGATTCAGCCTTTCATATAAAAAGGCAAGCTTTAATGTGTTTGATACAGAGTAGAGGATTTAGATTTAAGAAATCTAAAAGACTGAGTATGGGACTTTAGTATTTTTATTTACATTACATTCAGATGCCAATTTAAACATTTATTTTCAAAACTGCTGAACATTTAAAAACCCCTTTAACTGATGTTCCGTTTTTTTAAACTATTTTTCCCATCCTGCATCTAGGCCAGAACCCATGGATGGTATTAGTCTTGTGTTGAAATATACGAGTCATGTAAATACATCTTCCTTTGTTCATTTGCCAAAGGTGGCTTGAGGATTCTCCAACACTGAAATGCCAATATGGCATAACACAAACCAGTGAGCCCTTATGAAGCCCGCTGCTGTTTTTCAAATTCTTGCATGTGTTAAAAGGGGGAGGAGGGCCACACATACACATCTCTATGCCACTTGGCAGGCAGAATGGAAAACTGCAGGCTAAAGCTGATAGACCCTGGAGAGCCACTGCCAGCCAGAGGAGACCATACTGAACTATACAGACCAAAGGCCTGATTTCATACCAGGCAGCTTCAAGTGTTCACAAGTTCAGGCACTTCCTGACATGGAAAAAAAAACCCACATACATAATTCTGCACTTAGAAAACTATCACATTTGAGCAAGCAGAGCTAAGAGTCTCTAACATGGTAACCCCATCACATTACTCCTCCCCCAGCAATATGCAGCATCTACACAATTTTAGGAGCCCCCTTGCTTTATCTGAATGCAGACATCAAGTCTGGTCCATTACATATCTTACAATATCACTCTTACATATCACTCTTACTTCAGGTATTTGGCGAATTCTGGCTCCTTCCAGTATAGCAGGTACTTTAGATAGTTTACAAATGCTTTGTCTTTGAAGTATCCTCTCTGGGCAAGAACTGTAAGACAACAAACAAATTATTTTTACAATGGGTTTACCCTACAGTTGGGTAACAAGTCTCCCCTATTTACAAGAACTCAGAGGCACTCAATGAAGTGCATGGACAACAGTCAGAACAAACGAAAGGAAGTACTCTTACTCAATGAACGATAAGTTGTGCAGTTCAGTACCAGTAGATGTAGTGATGGCCAAGAGCACACATAATTTTAAAGCGGAATTACACAGATTCACAGTGGAGAAGAACACTAATGGCAATTAGTCATGATCATTGAAGGGAACCCTCAACATACAAAGGCAATAAGCCTCCGAAAATCAGTGCTAGGAAGCAACATCAGGAAAGGCCTTGCCCTCTATGCTGTTCGTTGTCATATCATAAACTGCATTCTTCCACCCACTAAACTTCCCTCACAGGTGTGCAACCAAGAGGGTTTGGTTTATGTTATTTTCTAACTTCACAAGAGAAAACCTTTCCTTCCCACTCAAACCCCAGTCTAGGAACAACGCTTCGGTAGCCTGCCATCAACCAGACCTCCTTAAGCCAGTGTGATGTAGTGGTTAAGAGCAGCTGACTCTAATCTGGAGAACCGGGTTTGAGTCCTTACTCCTCCTCCACATGAAGCCTGCTGGGTGACCTTGGGCCAGTCACAGTTCTCTCAGAGCTCTCTCAGCCCCACCTACCCCACCAGGTGCCTGTTGTGGGGAGAGGAAGGGAATGTGTTTATAAGCCACTTTGAGACTCCTTAAGGTAGAAAAAAGTGGGGTATAAAACCTACTCCTTTTCCCTTCGTCCTATTTCCCACCATGCCCAAGTCCACAAGAAGTGCGTGTGAGTGAGAGAAAAACACACTAGATGAAAGCAGTCACTGTCATTTCCATTTTAGAAGTGGCAAATAGACCCAGACGAAGGCAACCCCAGCAAGGCTCTGAATTCTCAACACTTTTAACTATGGAACCACCCTGAAAAATAACTGCTACAGAGCAGCTGTACAGCGCTTTCCCAGATCAGTCCAAGGTGACTCCATTTACTAAAGGACCCCAAAGTCAACAGTAACCAGTCAAATGTTGCCCATGGAAAGCTCTCACACAACTCAAGGGTCCCCCCTCCCCTGCTCAAGGGTGCCAACTTTAAAGAGTCAAAAAGGTCACTTTGGTCAGCTCATATTACACATTTAATCAGTTTAAACAACAGATACCTTCCTTTCCTTTCATGCAATTTATTTCATTCAGCTTGGAAAGCAGGAACTAAGACTGCTTTACCAGCCTCTCAGAGGGACCCTTTCCTCACTACAATGCTATCTCAGGCACAATCTCAAGACTACTTTGCACCATTCCCCACAATCTCACAAACCTGTTGCAAAACGATATGATCTGTAATGGTTTTCACCCTGTCATCTTTATACCATAAACTTCTGTATCAGATTCAAAGGTAGGGTTGCACCTCCAGTAAATCAATCATGAATAAAATTCAAATCACCACTTCCCCCTGCCAAACGATAAATATCCTTCACCTACTGTATGTATGTATGTGCTATCAAGTCACAGCCAACTTATGATGAGCCCAAAAAGGGGCTTTCAAGGCAAGTGAGAAGCAGAGAGGGTTTGCCATTGCCTTCCTCTACAGAGTCTTCCTCGGTGGTCTCCCTTCCAAGTACCAATCCTGCTTAGCTACTGAGATCAGCCTACACATTATCTTCCCTCCTAACCTTCACCCATACTTGAGCCTCTTCAGAAGGCCATATTACCATCCTCTTGGTGACTAGTTAGACTTTCTTTCTTTTGTAACACATTTTTCACATTTGGGATATTTGTTATGACCCTTGGCAACTAATGGCAACCAGGTGCTCAGTGTGTCAACAAAATCAAATTATCCAAATGCAGCTGTGTTTGTTTCAGGCACTTACAGTTTAGGTAATTGGGGTTTGCCAGGCACTGCACGAATTCCAGCTCCAACTGGAACCGAACCCGGTTTCCTGCATCATCTGGTGTCGGAAAGAGATCATTAAAATTATGCAAAGAGGACAATTCTAGGCTCAAAGACGCAATCCAGCTTTGTTCAGTTTATAATCCACTTGAAAGAGAGCCATGGAGAAGCTGTAGCTAAGCAGTTACAGCATCTGCTTCGTACCCAGAAGGTTCCAGGTTCAATCCCCACCATCTCTAATCAAAAATACTTAAGTAGTCAATGCTGGGAATGGCCTTACTCTGCCTGAAACTTCAACAAACCACTGCCCATCGAACTAGACAATACAGATCTAGCAGGACCAATGCTCTGACTTGGTACAAGGCAGTTTTATATGGACAGATGGCCCACTGCACAATAGCAGAATACATGCCAAGTATTCACAAGGTCCAAAGTCCAATCTGCCTGAGATTTTGGAGAGTTGCTACCTGTCAGAGTAGACAATACTAAACTAACCAATGTTTTGACTCAGTAAGAGGGAGTCTCATATGTCTATGTGCACAAGCATCATCCTCTGCAACTGGTCACCCAATGTCATTGTTACAACCAAAGCAGGGAGTAAAGTGTTTAATATTGAATAATGCATCTTAAGGGCAACAATTTCTAGATACTTCATACATCTGTCAAAGCAAGTAGTTCTGGTTTTCCCTGTTCTGGAAATGCTTCAGAGCCTTTGAAAGAGAAATGGTCATCAGGTGTAGTAACTGGGTATGGACCAGCAGAGATACAATGGCAAACTAAAGCTCTACCTATTAGACCTTTGCCTGTTGTGTTCGGGGGAGGGGTTGTGGCTCAGCACCCATTTCTTGCATGCAGAAGACCCCAGGTTCAACTCATAGTGCCTCCATTTTAAACAGTCTCTCATATACTGACGCTGACCCAGCCCCTCAGAGAGGTACTGTTAAGACATAACAAAACAGGAGTCCAGTAGCATCTTAAAGCCCAGCAAAGCTTTCCAGGATATAAGCTCTCATGAGTCAAAGTTCACGTCACCAGTACCCAACAAAGCGAACTTTGACTCACAAAAGCTTATACCCTGGACATTTTTGCGGGTCTTTAAGGTACTACTGGACACTTTTGTTCTACTACCACAGACTGACAGGCCACCCACCTGGAAACTGTCAAGGCAGAGGAAATGACCGACCCTCAGCCCGACTCAGGATAAGGCGCCCTTACCACTTCACAGTGTTGATGGGAAACAAAG